CCAAGAATACTCTGGAAAAGAAGAGCAAGGGGGAGGCTCAGCCCAGCCGGACACTAAAACCTGGGCCGAAGTCTCAATAGAAAAAGCACCAGCAGGCAAAGAGACACACGCACAAGTCCACGGGGGTGCTGAGAGCGCAGAGGCACGGCCCCTGGCGCCAGGGAGGGAAGAGAACTGCTCATTTATTAGTGTTTGGACTACTGAACAGCTCTCCAGAAAATAAAAGTCGGATTCACACTTCATAGTCAACGTGAGAATCAATTCCAAAAGGATCAATGGTTTAAACTGTAAAAATAAATCCATGGAAGAGTAGAAAAAGAAGAAACGAGAGAATTCCCTCATGAGTTGGGAGTGAATGAGGACTGTCAATTACTCATCATCCATAATCATGGGGGAAAGCCCCATCCACAGAATTAAAACCTTCTGCCTAGACGGAATACAATGACTGGTAAGATCAAAAGATGAATGGCAGGCGGGGAGTGCCTCTATGTTTAAATCTTCTTAGAATCCAGAACTGATCCAAAGTCTAAGACCAAGTGAAAAAGAAGAGTTCCCCTGAAGAGGAAATGCAAAATGCAAGTGAAAAGACACTTATCCTCACACGAAAGAAAGAAAACATAATCTAAAACTGAATACTTCACCCACAGACTGGGAACCCCTCCATCTGTGTTCCCTGTGTCAGAAAATCTCTACTCTAGGTCCAGATTGCAAAGTACAAACCCAAATATTCTTTCGGCAGGCAGAGCATTGCTCAGAAATATGTAGCAGAGTGTAAAAGCAGAGGGAAGAGGCTTAACTGCAAGAGCGTGATCTAGAGAGCACCCAACCCTCTTCACAGAATGGGCTGTTTCCTTAGTGATCATATGACAGGATTCTACACGGCTGTAAGACATTAAGGAGAAAGCTTCATATGACTGGAATGGGACTATCTCTTTGCCATGCTAAGATGACAAAGCGAAGTATAAGAAGGATTTGATATTATGTCTTGCGTACAAAAGGGGGAACTTGGGAATCTACTAGGTCTTTATAGGCAGAAAAAAAGTGATAAAAGTGAGTACGTGGGAGGGACCAGAATGACATTACAGTAGGCAGGGCACTTGCCTTGCACATGGTCAATCTGGGTTTGATCCCTGGCAGCACATATGGTTCGCTGAGGCTGCCAGGAATGATCCCTGAGCAAGGAGCCAAGAGCATCGCTGGGTGTGTCCCAGAAACAAACCAAAAAAAAAAAAAAAAAAAACCTAAAAACCAGAAACCAGAAAAACACAGTGGGTACCTGGGAGTGGAAGTAGGGGTTTTGGGAGGCGGTGCTGGAAGAAACTGGAAAGATGCAGAACCAGTCAAGGACTATATCCCACTGTAGACACTAATTTATTCATTGGCATGTTGAAACCATGCCAATGCATGTCCTATTCAAAAGTAGATTACACAATTTGTGTCCAGGGACAACTGTGGAAGTACTAGGACAGACTGACAGACAGATGGCTCCTAGCAGACTCTGAACTCTTCCCCAAGAAAATGGCCTTGGGTTTAATGCCCCAGCTCGGGAGTCACTACACCTCAGAGAGATGGCAGGGGAGGAAGTGGGACACTGAAGAGACCTCACACAGGTCACTCTGTAGACAAGGCAAACCCACAATCTGAGGCTGACCTAGACCCTGGCACAGCTAGATGGTCAGAAATGGGTCCCTGAACTGGGCTTCCTCCTCAGCCATCTGGGATATGGGGGCAGGAGAAACTGTGAAGGCCATTGCTGTTCCCCTTAGACACACACATGTAGGCCCACATGGCCCTTGGCCGCAAATCTCTCTTGGCCTCTGGCTCAGGGGAAAAAGCAGGACATGTGCCAGGCACCTCCCGGTCCTGCAGGCTGCAGCCCTGCCCAAAGAGGCCCCTCCACTTCCCTTTCCATTACATTGTTGCCTGGCACCAGGCCCTGGTTGGGACGAGGGGGGTTGGGGGAGAGCCAGAGGGGACGTGGGCAGCCAGTAGAACAGAATCAGGGCTGCATCGGGGTGGAGGAGGCAGCTCTGCTTTGCTCCCACCACCCCCAATCCTCTGCCCTGTGGCCTGCCCATCCTCTGGCCTTACGCTTCCTCCCAGAACCCAGTGGCAGTCCCCCAAAGTCTCCGGCCCAAATATGGGGATTTCTGGATCTCACGGGGAACCCACATAGGGTTTGCTCATCAGAATCCAGTCCCGTCTTTGGGGAACCAGAGACCATGTGTGCTGGGGTGGGAGGAGGAGGGTATCCCTGGTTCAGAGCCTCACCTGCTATGGCTCATCTGTTCCCCAGACCCTTTTCCTGGGAGCAGCCATGCTAGAGGCAGCTGCTAGGGTCCCCAAAACACTGAGAGCCCCAGGGGAAAGTTCAAAGTCCATTAGGCTTTGACGGAGGTTTCCTGAGATCTAGAAGCATTTAGGGAAAACTGAGGCCGTGGGGGGGTGAGCCGTGCAGAAGGACAGATTTGTTGGGGTCAGGCTCCCAGCACAAAATGGACTTCAACCACATTCCTGCCTTGAGAGGGGCGACTAGAAGAGCTGATCAGTCCTGTGGGCACTGACCTGGAAGCAGAAAGCCGGAGTGCAAATGGACCCCTTTGCCAGCTATACCGGGGAAATTAGCTCAGCTGCCAGTCCCTGCCTGCACTGTCAAAGACTGAGACCTCTCCATTCAGGTGCCAATGGCCAGAGCTCTGACAGCTCACACCCAGGTGCAGAAGGCCCAGAAGCACCGACCTCACGATCTGATTGGGGGCTGAGTGTTGTGCCTTTCCTTCCAGCTCTCCAGACCACCTTTTCTCCCTATGTCTCGCCCCAATTCCTTTCCATCGTATGGTTGCCTGGCAAGCATTTGCCCATAAACTGCTGGGGAAATACAGTGGTCAGAAGGAGAGAGAAGAAAGACATGCTGCACCCCCACCCCAACCCTCCAGGGAGATGGTGACCCAGAGGGGTGAGGCCCTGCAGATGTGGCAAGCAAAGGCAGGAGCAGCCCAGCTCCAACCGCTCATCGGACAGCCCCACGGGCCCGAGTGCATGGCTCTGGCAAAGCCCTCGAGAAACTCAAGCCTGCTGCAGAGCCTGCTGTGAAGGCCAGGTCTTCCCCCGCACCCCGAAATCCCCACATTACAGTGTGTCTCCCTCCCGGCACTCTGTGGGCAGGGACAGGGAGGCAGAAGAGGCCTGGCTGGCATTCCTCAGGAGCACCATGTGGTAAAGCCCGATTTCTCTCCAGAGCTTCAGTCTCAGGCTCCTCTGGCCCCAACCCAAGGTCCAGCTCCTGCCAAACTTAATGCTCCCCTTCAGGGCTCTTGCAGCTGCAGGCAGAGGCTGTGCCCACCAGCTAGATGCCCTGGCTGCCCACCACAGAGGCCCTCGTTAACCTTTGAAGGTTGGTTCCTACTGAGCAAAGTCTTGACTGGGCTGGTACCAAGTAAGACTCGGGGTGGGGTGATGCCCTGCCCTCATTTCAAGGACCTGTGTTCTGGCCAAGTTGGGGTTAGACTGACCCTTCTCCTGGGACCCCTGACTTCTCCTGGGACCCCTGACTTCTTCTGGGATCTCCGGCTTCTCCTCAACTCTCCTGGGGTCCCCAGAATTTCTGTGAGAGGCTGGGGATACATGTGTGCCTCTGTGCCTACTTGCATATCTGTCATACATCCAAAGCCTCTACATTCCCTGACAGGAAGCCCCATTCTTCTTGCAAAAAAAGAGGTATGCCAGGAGGTAATTTTGTCCATTCGTATCACCTTGTTGCTTGCTTACAGATCACCAATCATTCAGAAAAAAAAAACGAACAAACTCCAAAACTGAGAACCAACAGCTACTTGCCTGTTACATAACCAATTAGAATGTTCCATGCAGAACTGTGATTCACAGAATTCTGATTTGCAGGCAGTGCCCCAGAAATAGAACTGAAGCATATACCTAGACACTCCTCACTCCTGCTCTCCCTCCACCACCACCGCCTCATCTCTCTGGTTATGTGGACAGCACTAGTACCTGAATCATCCAGTCTCTCAAGCCTGTATCCCACCCCACCCTGCCCACCCCCACCTCCAGAGTAACCATGGATACCCTAAAGGGCAGGGTCTAGCCCTGGCAGATAATACCAGGTCCCCAGCCTGCCACACACATGAGCTAAAAATTTCCACATAAAATGCTTTTTGTTGGTTTTCCAGGGCCAGATGGGGAAAGAATGAGCTTCAGCAACCTGAAGCCGCATCCCTGGGCTTCAGGATCTCTCCTGAGAGGGCCAGGCTGGAGCAGGAGCTGGTGTGAGCCAGTGCAAGGTCTGCCCTTGAAACCCCAAATCTCTGCCAGGCCCACAGACACGGCATGCTGAAAAGGGGCTTCCGCCCTCATCAGGGACTCTGCCAAGGAGGTTAACTCAGGCCCCAACTGAGCCAAAATTGGGGAATCTGAACTGAGAGATTCGGTCCAACAAAATCAGCAGCATCACCACCATCATTTCACCACCATTACCATTATCTTATCACCGCCATTGTCATCATCATGTCACCTCCATCTTATCATCATGTCACCACCATCATATGATTATCACTGCCTTCATCATCTTCCCATTACCACCATCACCGCCATCATAACCATAGACTACCATCAAATCACTACTGTCATCATCAACACCATCATCATATCACAACCACCATCACATCATCGTATCACCACCATCACCACCATTACCATATTATTAATGCCCTCATTAGCACCACCACTTCCTAAGTACAGGGCGCTTCAGGCAGATACTCTCATGAAATCTCCATTTTCTAGGCAGGGAAACTAAGGCTCCGAATGGCCAAGATATTTGTCCAGAGTTACTGTGCTGGTAAGTGCTAAGGGAAGGATGGACGCTGCTTTGTGGAACACAGACTCTGTGCTCTTTCTGCCAACTGGCCTAACAAAGTGCCAGAGCCTCCAGCCCCACCCCCAACCCCCACATTAACCCCAACACTGTCTGAGAATGTGTGCTGTCTTACGTGGCCAAAGGGGTCCAGGTGGTTGTTGGTCAGCTTCAGCTTCTGGAAAGAGACCAGTTGCCGCATCCAGTGGGCCCCAGTGGCCGGGGAATCCGGGTGCACATACAGCCTGCCTGGCATGGCGGGCTCAGCCTTCCCAGCCACCATCCTGCCAACAAAATAGACATAGCCATCATGGTTGACTCCTCGGGGTTTCTGGGGAGCCCCAGTCCCCTCTGCTCCGCCATTCACCAGAGGGATATATCTCAGCTGTCCTGTCCCCACTCTCAGGGTAGGGCTTCAGGAGCCTTCTGGAGGGACAGTGAATAAGCCAAAGGCAGGGTCAGCAAAGAGCTGTCAGAGCTCTGTACTGTACCACAAAGAAGGGGAAAACGTTTACAGAGAAATGGGACCATTTACTCAGAGGGCTAAATTAATAGGCACTTCTATGTACATATTCTATTATAATTGGGGAAGGGGGTTCCCAAACAGTGCTCATAGAACTCCAGGAGCCTCTCTCAGTGATACTCAGCCAACATGCTAGGCAATTTGATGTTGGGGGTTTGCTTCGACACAGCAGTATCTGGGGTCACCAGGGTTACACCCTAGAGGACTGGGGGTGGGGACAGATATACAGTGCCTAAGACTAAACTGGGGGCCTGTACATATAAGGTATATACCTCTAACACCCAGACTTCTTCCAGGCCCCCATATTTATAACTTGAAGGGTCACAGAATCTGTTCTTTGGACAGAGTTTCTTAGAGGACCTAGACAACTTTCAAACTGCTTGCCCCAAAACAAGGGTTAGATGTTAATTGGTAGAGGTTGCATCATCCTGAGCTGGCTAAGTGCCAACCCAAACAAGGCAGAGTGAGAAATATATCAGGGCAGGCAGAACGTGGCCACCCAGCCCTGCCTGGTCAACCCCATCTCTGCCTGCCACCCTCCACTGCTGCTTCACTCCTTCCTTCTGGCCCCCAGCACTGGCCAAGGGGCACAGAGGATACTAGGGAAGTTTCTCAGGAAAAACAGCATGGGCCCCTGCTACTCTGCTTGGGGGCACTCATCACCTGAGAGGCAAGGCCGGGCAGCTAGACCAAGAGTAATGCCACAGGCAAGGCAGCTGGACCCCAAGACTCCCCAAAAGCTCTCACCCTTCTTCCCACTGGAACAGCACCATTTTGACTCACCCACATGGACGTGTATGCACGCCAGCTGTGTGACCACCCCTGCTATCTGCCCAGAAAACCAAACACAGACACACAGCTCACTTCTAGCCCCAGCCTGGTTCTCAAGGCCCACCACCTGGACCCACTGGGGAATCCCTGGAACAAATCAGGCAGGGAAGGGTGAGGTGGGCAGAAAAGGGTAACCAAGTGAAGGCAGGTGAAGCAGGCAACCCCAGGTCTCTTACCATTTGTTGTCACAGAACTTGTAGCGATGGTCATCTGCGGGGACGATGTCAATCAGCAGGATATACTTAGTCTTGGGGTTCATGCCTGTGACTTTCACCTTGTAGCTGGGGAACATCCTCCTAGGGGAAGCCAAAGAGCAAGGTGGCGGCATGGACAGAGCACCAGGAGAGCTGGCCCAGAGAGGAGGTGAAGGCAGTGAGCCTTCCAAGGCCCAGGCAAGAAGTCCCCGCACAGCTCAGGCTTCATGACTCCCCCTCTGAGCCCCGGGGAATTCCAGTCTGTGTGTCTGGGAAGAGACTCCTGTGGTTTCCCTGATTCAACTCTCCACCCAACCATGGTCTCCTAGTCATTCATCACAGCCACTGGTCAAGAGTGTGAGAAAAGATCTCAACTCCTACTTGGCTGCCCCAGTTGCCCCCCCCCCACCCCCATCCTTTGCCAATCTGCATACAGTCAAAGTTCTGGAGTCCCAACCTGGAGGCAAGCCTGGAAGTTTCTGGAAGTTTTTAATCAACCATGTCCACGATGATACATCTCGGAAACCCTGAGGTCTCAAACCAACTCTGGTACTGTTATTTTATTTTATTTTATTTTAGAAGAGGTGTTGACCTCCCTGAACGTTCAGCGTGGCCTGCACTCCCTGATAACTGGGTATCTGGGAAAGCCAGTGGACTCTCAATCTACCCGGCCATGGCGGGCAGCCGACCCCACAACAAGCAAACTGTGAGGTCTTGGGCAACTTGCTGGAATCTCCACACATTCATTTTCTTATCGCCAGCAAGGACATTACTACCCACCCTGGATTAAAGGAGTCCATTCAGGACGTTCCCTTTAACCCCCTACTTCACTCCTCCCTCTACAAAGCAGTGCATGATTGACTTCTAGGATAAAAAGAGTCACCACCACCACCATCCCACCCCAAACTGGGACATTTTCTATTTCCTCGGCTAATGCTGAGATTATGCAGGTCTCTGAGGTTTGGTGAACATTCTAGAAAAGGACTTTCCCAGACCTCTCAGTGCAAACACACACAAACACATACACACAACACAACAATAACAACATGTTTCTTTACCTGCAGGGGCTCAGTTCCCATCCCAGGCACCAGTTACTGCTGCTCAGCTTCCCCAGAAGCGCCAGAACTTCCTCATAGTCTTCCTCTGAGACTTCCCAGCTCTCCTGGCTGATCCCCCACAAACATGGCCCGCTGCCTGTTCTGTCAGGCAGAATCCAAACCTAACCAAGGCTCTAACCCCGGCCGCAGGTGCCATGAGTTGTGAGAGCACTGACAGGTGGTCTCTGCCTCTCACAAATAACAAGGCAGGCCCGGGAAGAAAGGCTGTCCTGACACCACCAACAGGTGTCTGGGGGCAGAGGTGCCAGCTGGGTGCAGCGGGACTTGCAGGAGCCACAGGGCCTTGGAGCCCAGCGCCCCTCCGGGACCCTCCCCCGTGCACGCAGCCCAGAGTGAGGTTGTGCGCGCTGCCTGGCGCATGTGCAGGGGCGTGTGGAGTGCGCATGTGCGCATGTGTGCGTGTCTGGAGGGAGGAGGGAAGTTCTAGCTGCAAGTCTAGGGACTTATAAACCTTGTGGAAGAATTTGTCTCAGATGTCAATTGAAAGCATTTTCAAATGTCCACCCCACCCCCTCTCCAGGAAGGGGGGAAGTGCGAGGACTCAGGAACCCAATCCCACCTCTTGCTTCCTAGCCCCCACCCCTGCCCAGGCCTGGGGGCACAGCTGGAGCTGACACCACCCACTTTCCTGGCCAAGCCTCTCCCCTGGTGGGCCTAAGCAGCCGCTGGTGGGGGTGGGCAGCAGCTGCCTCACCCCTCCCCTCCCTGAGGGAAAGCCAAGAATCCTGTCCCCTCCAGGCCACCATCTTGTAACCGCTACGGAAACATCCACAAAATGGGGCAGCTGCGGCTGTGCTTGGGCGGCCTGGCCACGGTGCCAGCCACCGCGCCTGCTTCTGCACCCCTCCAGGTGGCACCCGCCCTGGGCAGGCAGGGCCTCTCCCTCGGGCAGGGGTGGGGAGGGGGCAAGAGAAAATGGCGCTGAGAAGGACTGGAGTGGCCCTGTCCTTGCGGGCCTCGCTGGCTGCAAAGGAGCCCCTGACAATGATGAAGTGCCCTGGAGGTCTGGGAGGAGCCTGTAGACTCCCGAGGCTGGGAGCTGGGGAGCCGTTGGCGCCACCCGCTGCCTGAGAGCCTTGGGTTGACTCTGCAGGGCCTGGGGCAGGGAAGGGGGCCCCCAGCCTCGGCCTCGCCATCTGCCAGTTCTCTCTTTCCAAGGCAGTGGGCTTAGAAGCCTGGAGCAAAGATGGGCTGGCTGGTCCAGATGGGATTTGGGGGTTTGCCCTCCCCCCAACCCCATCCCCACTCCCTCAACCCTTCCCCCACCCCTGTCAAAGAGCTCCAGGGTCTTACAGAAACAGCCCCCTCCATCTCTGGCCATGTGGGACCCCAGCGGGCTGAAGGGCCCATGGTGTGTGGGCAGATCCAGACGCGCATCGCCCTCTATCTGCCCTTGGGGGTTCCAGAGGGGCTAACACGGACACCTGCAAGGGAGGCAGGACTCAGACCACCGAGTCAGGCGGGTGTGGGCTCTGTGTGCTCCCTGCCTCACATGCTCGAGGAAACAAGTGACACGGGTGGCTCGGTGAAGGGAGAAATCGGAGGTTTCCGGGATTTCGGCGCCACGTGCGCCCTCTCCCCGCGCGGGCGCCTCTCTGCACCCCGGGGTGCTCTCCCAGGGTCCGCCCGCCCTGGCAGGCGGGGCGCTGCTGGCTCGCGGAAACAGCTCCGCCAGGGGAATAAACAAGCCGCCGGCTCCGCGGGCCGGCCCAGGAGATGAAAGCTCTGGGTTTCGCCTCTGATCATGAAACAGGCTCTGAAAGGGTGCGGGCATGGGGCCTTTATCTGCCTCAGACTCGGAAATGGTTTTAGAATGAACTGCTAAGATAAGCGTCCTCGGACATTTCTTGGTGTGGATGGCTTGCGGGGCGCCGGGCGAAGGTTTCTGGGGCCTTTTGATTTTGGCAACGTACTGATGGACCAGACCACGAACTGGCTGCTGAGGGGACAGCAAGTTACAGCTGGGCTCAGACAGTCGCTGGGGGCTCAGGCTCACTGCCAAAGCGCTTGCTTGCAAAGTCAAGGCGCTGACCTACACCCCATCCCCCACCAATCCTGCAAGCAAGCGGGGAGGGGCGGGGAAATGAGGGGACTCTCCATAGCCCCCTGTGCCCTAATCAATCCACTGCAGCCCGAATTTCTCCATGGCCTCAGGCCTGGGACCCCTAAGTGCTGGAGCAGAACTCAACCAAAAGGATGAGACGCTTGTGGAGCATTTACTCCGTGTGAAGAGGTGTTATCTGGAAGGAATACAGAAGGATTTGGGGTGACTGGTGATTATGTGACTTCTTTTCCTGGGTGGTGTTGCATGGGTAACTTCATTTTGTGAAAGTATAGAGCTGTACAATTAAGGTTTATTTGTTCACTTTTCTCAGGAATGTTCCACATTAATAACACTGTTGTTAAAAATTACTGCGTGGGGGTGAGAGTAGGTTGAGCACTTGCATTGTGAGCGGCCGACTGGGTTCATTCCTGTGTACCACATATGGTTCCCCCAAACCCTCCAAGAGTGATCCCTGGGCACAGAGCCAGGAGTAAACCTGAGCACTCTTGGGTGTGGCCAAAAACACACACACACAAAAAAAAAAAAAAAAAGAAAGAAAAAAAAAGAAAAGAAAAATTACTACATGTGCAGGGTCAGGGATGTAGCTCAGTAGTGGTGTGAGTTCCTGAGCTCTCTCCTGGTATCACCATTCCTGGGACCATATCTGAACTTACATACACACATACATCATACACACATATACATGTCTGAGACTACACATGTGCACGCATAGACACACATCCATACATGAGCCTCTGAGCCCAGAATCAGAGAAGAGAATAGGGGTCCACCTAGAACCCTACGTGCTCTCTATTGCCAGGTTCTGCAGGTCTTGAGGAAGAGTTCTGGACTGGTTGGTTAAGAAGCCAGGGCTCAGCAATTCAAGCTACAAGGCTGAAATTGGGGTTGTAGGTTGTGGTACCGCCTATACGGAGACCAAACCTATATTGAGCCAAGTGATTTCTCAGAGCAAAGACCAAACTACGTAATTCATTTCCACTCTGCGCAAATAAGCACACACACACACACACACACACACACACACACACACACAGAGTTTTCTAATTGGCTCAAAGCATTTTCTCCAGTTGGGGGCAGGGGTGGGGGAGCAAGAGTGAGGGCTTATGGATAGATGCTGTTTTGGAAGGTCAGTTGCTTCTCTGAGATTTTTTTAAAAGACACTTCCTTCTGATATTTCTGCTTTCAGAAAATACTTTAAAAAGAGATCAAAGCACTCTCTCCCCAACCCACTTTCCCAGTGTCTTCAACCCTTACTTCTCTTATCACCCACGCCACTGGGTTCTGACGCTCTGTATACAGAGCCAGGGCAATTGGCTTTGAAGCCCCGGATTAAGCCGGGCCAAATCCTTGCCTCAGAATAACAAACAATACAGGTTCAACAGGAGTTCTCATCGGTAGTTCATTTTTCAAACGCAAATTCACTGTCACTAACACAAGCAACATTGAACTCAACAGGCTATGAAGGCTGATAGTGGAGATTTATCTGGTGGCAAAACCATGACCTAGGAGAAGAGCAGGCAGACTGTTAGGAAATTTTCATTTTGGGGAGGTTTATATTTAAATTTTTGTGGAGCTCACTTTTATCTGTGTTTGGGAGAAAATGCAGTTTCTCACATGTATCAAGCTTGGCAGCGATGTGAGGAGGCTGAGAGGAAGCTGCTCTCTGAAGTGAGCCATATCAAGACTGGGGAGCAAAAAGAGGGAAAGAGGGACACAGACAGGGTGGGAGGGTCCCCAATTTTACACTTGACAATGGCAAGCTCCTGAACATTCCAAAGTAGATGCCTTCCTCTGTGTTTGATATTTTATACAGCAGATCAGACTGAATTCAAAGTCGAGTTCAATAAAGGAGATTATTTCTACCTGTGGCCTTCATACTTTCAGCTTCAGATAAGTGTGACCCCAAGACTCAAACCCACCCGAGAACATTCTGGCTTCCTTCTCTAGTACCTGATCTTTCCTTGACCAGACAGCAGGGATCAGGGTACTCACCAGAGAGGATCACTATGGCCATAGGTCTCAATCATAAGGGAATTTCTCCCAACTGAGGTTTTGTTTTGGGTGCACCAGGTAAAGGGAATCATCTCCCTGAAAACTATTCAGGTCTACCTCTCTCTACACTAGGGTTATCTTCCCTTCTCTGGAGCTGGGCTGATGTTCTCTGATTCCCCTCCATCTCCAGCAAGCTAGGAATCCGGGAGCCAAAGGGTCCGTCCGGGGAAGGCTCTCTGCCAAGGACTGGAAATGTCCCAGGAACAGCAGGTAGAGACAGAGGAGCACAGAAAAGGGCACTGGACAGAGTGTAGAAGAGCCCAAACAAACCCAGCAGAAGGTCAGGATGGGAGACACAGGGGTCCAATAGTGATCTTGGTCTCTACAGACAGCAGCTAGATGGGGGAAGAGTCTGTGAGAACTATACGGAGACAAACTGAGACTACTGACTTTCTTGGGGACTAGACTTGGTGCAAAAATAGCTCTCCAAAGAAATAAAAGACTGCCATGAATCCATAATTGGCCAATATTATCACTGACATTTAAAATTTGTATCATCATTCCTTGAGGTCCCCACCTAAGCCTCCACTAGGATCAGGCACAAACATCTGCCTGAAGCTGGTCACATCTGGAAGAGTGTGTGTGTGTGTGTGTGTGTGTGTGTGTGCGCGCGCGCGTGCGTGTGCACGCATATGCACACTGAGGGGAGAGAAGGAGGAGGAGGACCCACACAGGTGCAGGAACTGCCACTGAGGAGAATCACAAATGCCCTTTGTTTAAAATGGCAGAAGCCAGGCATGCCCCCAAAACACACTGGCCATTTATTTTCAGGGTTTTATTTTTCTAATGCCTAAAAATGTGGACTGCTGGATCTTTGTCTTTCTTTTTCTTTTCCCTCTACCCCAACAGTCCAAGAAATAAATCCTCCCTCTTTGCACCTGTAATCCACTCAACAATTTGCCAAGCTATGCCCACCAGATTCCTGGTTTGAGTCTCATAGTAACGAAAAACAGAAGAATGGCAGGAAAATTAATCATCGCCATCTCTATTTTACCTGCCCCCAGTGAATCCCAAGAGGTGGAGGGCCTTGCCCAAGTCCACTGAACTGAGTAAAAGCTGTGCTTGTGACACCCGGCTCCACACTCGTCCCCAACCCCCAAGTGCAGCAAGCCCAGCTCTGACATCTCCTTGTTCCCTCTCCTGATGGAGGCTCACCTCCCTCCTTGCCACCTGCCTGACCTCAGCTGACAGTGGCCAAGTGCCCAGGCTCACCCCCTCCACTTAAACTAAGATTAATATACTGCCACGCCTAATAGCTTCAGAAAGGACAACAGCATCAACCCCCGCTCCACATGCAAACAAACCACCAGTTTTCTGCTCCAAGAGCCCCCCATTCCCTACAGAACCAGTCCAATAGAGCAGAGTTCTCTAAACTGCAGATGAAAGATGTGATGCACTTCCAGAAATTTCTCTACTGATGACGATTATTGTTAACATTTATTCTGTGTGCCCATGCACCAAAGGCTATGCTAAGTGTTTTATATACAAAGGTATGAAGTGGGATCTATTCTTTCATAAGTAAAGATGTGGCAAGGGTAACCTTGACTGTGCAATAAACACATGGAAGTAGCTGAGCTAGAACTGCTGCCCCAGGGATGGCCTCCAACCCTCCCATGCCTGGTCCATCTCATTCCACGATTAGGAGCCCACAAAAAGGCAAAAGGACTTGTTCATACCTGACACTTCTCGCAGGGTTTAAAAATCCCTGGGCTAGGGATGGAGCAGTAGTACAGTGGGTAGGGTGTTTGCCTTGTACATGGCCAACATTCAAGCCTTGGCATCCCACACAGTCCTAGGATCTCACCAGGAAGGATCCCAAAAGGCAGAGCCAGGAGTAAGCTCAGAGCCCACCGGGTGCGGCCCCAAACCCCAAAACTAAATAAACAAAAATGCCTGGACCAGGATGTGGAGGAAGAAGGGCGTGTCCCTGAACCTATATTCTAGTGTCTGCCTGCAGCCATCTCCCTTCACCTGATAACTAGCCTAGCCGGTGGGTCCTGTGCAGACAGCCCCAGAACCTCTGACACGCAGGTCGGCATCTCCCTCCTCTCACCCTCTCCCGTTTTCTCCCACAGACACCAGCGCATTTTAAAGATGTTTCCACTTTATAAATCATCCCTCTCTGGCAGCCACACAGAGAGCTACTCCCCACACAACACAGGCAGAGCCCAACGGTGCCCTCCTCTTGGTCAGGGAGAAGCAGACAGCCGAGGGGCAGTAGCACCCATAGGGCAGGGAGATTTGGGGTATAAGCTACCCCCAAAGTAATGAAAATAACAAAAGAAAGCTCCCTTTGCCTTCTTCATTTGTTGAAGGTTAATTCTGTTAGATAACTACAACCCTGAAAGACTACCCCCCCTCCACACCTCCCCAAAGTCTCCCCAAAGCTGGAGGACAAAGTAGCTCCTCGGGAGACCCTAAAGCTTGGGGACCAGAACCTCCGAAAGCCTTATTTGCATTTCATTTGCATGGTGCTGCCCTCCTCTTAGACTACACTGGGGGCCAGGGGCCCTAGGAGCTGTGGAGGGACCCTGGGGGAGCTCCGGATGGTCCCTGGAAGCTGGTGCGCTCTGGTCCCAAGGTCCCAAGGTCCCAAGGTCCCAAGTCAAGGCAACAAGATGTGAACTGGGGAGAGGGGTGGGCTAAGACAACCAAGGAAGTCCCCTGGGGACGCCAACTGCCCTCCCCCCAACCCCTACCCCATGCATGAATCTCTCTGGGCTGACCTGCCCGCCTTGGTGATGATCATCTCGGTGCCAGCCTCATGAAACTTCTTCCAGAGCTCTTTCTCATGCAGACCCACCTTGATGTTCTCGATGGTCTGGGGAGGGAAGGGAAAGGCCCTTAGGTGGGTTCTTCGGCCCTTGACTCCAAGGGAGCCCTACATAAGGGGCATGCAGACCTAGAAACTGCAGGGCACCGTCAGTCCCCCGGAACCGAGCCGGCAGATTTCGTTTCACCAAATGAGTCTAGACCCACTGGTGACGTTTAAAAAAATCTCACTGCTGGTGAAATTTTAAAAATTTTCATCGTGGTAGCTGAAAGTTCCGCTTTCTGAGCTCTGTCACAAGCCAGTAAGTGATCAAAAGTGGCCGTGCTGGAGTCAACGAAAGACGCGATCCCGCACAGACGTGGTCACCCCACATGGACGAGGAAGCTCAGGCCTGCGGGTGAGCACCCGCAGCGGCGGGGATAATACATCCCCAGTCCTCAGACACTGTGCACGAATCCTTGCAGGCCCCTGTCGTGCGTCGTGATCACCCGGCTATCTCCAACGCAACGTCCCTGCGCTTTCGGAGCTTGGAGCCGCCCCAGAGCAACAAGATCTCCGCGGGCACCTTCTCCCTTTTCGCCTAGACCCCTCATTCTCTGGGGTTTCCGGAGAGCAGCACTTAGCCAGTCTCACTCTGTCTGCCGCCGCAGCAGTGGGACCCTCTCCGCTCGTCCCAGCAAGGTGGAGGGATCCAAGAGGAGGAGGGACATGGTAGGGACAGCGGTCAATTGCTACCGAGGAGGATACTCAGGACGCGGCCAAGCCCTCAGGAGGAGGTGAGCCCTGTCCCCGAGAGGGGCAGCCGGACCGACGCGGGTGGCCCTGCAGACTCCCAGACGCCGGGCGCGACCTTACCTGTTCAGCGGCTGCGGCCGCGACGTCGCCTGGGCCCGGGGGGCTGCCGAGCGGGGCTCCGGCGAGGCCGGGCGCTGCCAGCGCGGGGTCGGGGGCGCTGGCGGCGCTGGCGGAGCTGGTCTCGCCGAGTGCAGGGCCCGGGCCCCGAAAGGCCTCCTCGCTCTCCGACAGGCCCTTCTCCTGCAGCATCTCCTGCCGGCACAGCACACAGGAGTCACATGCCCGGCCCCCCGCACTCGCCAGAGTTCAGAAACTCCCCGCAAGTGGGAGGAAAGGTGTGTGGGGAGTCCTGCGGGGCTAGGGCCGCTTTGCGCACGTGGCCCGATCCTATGCCAGTTCCAGGGCTGGCGGAACGCGGATCTGAGGAGCTCAGGACCCTCGCCTCCTCCGTCGGCGGCGGCGTGGGCGACGTGGACTCTAGGGCCGCCCGACCCGAAGCGTCTGTGCGCGCTTCTCTGGCCTCCTTCTTCGGGGTTACAGGTGGTGGGAGAGTAGGTCTGGGGGAAGGACCGCCTTCCAGGCAGTGCCCCAGGTGCACTCCCAGCCCCTCCCTCCTTCTGAGACCCCCAGGAGCCTCGGGTCTTTTCCTGTTGGTCCTTTATAACTCGGTCCCCCACTTGCTTGTCTCAGGACAGCAAAGGAAATCCGGCCAGGAGGGCAGGGCCATACTCCAAGCCTCCACACCTGCACCACTGCCGACACTGGGCTGCTCACTCTCCCAGCCTCCCAGCTCCCACCCCAGGGGGAGAGTTCTGAACCAAAAGCTCTCAGGGGTACACCACCAGCTCCAGCAGAACAAACACAGAATCTTCATACCCAGAGGCAGCACCTCCCACAGCTTCCAGTCACCTCCAGCAACCTTCACCCAGGGCAGGTCTGCTGAGACCCTACACTCAGCCAGAGACTCCCAGCCTGGCCCCATTTCCACAAGGGCTGGACCATTCCCTCCCACTTCACAATAGCCACATTGGGAAAAGGACCCAGATTTTTCCAGACCTTTCCAGCTAAGAACCAGGCCTACGGACTGGATCCAATTTCCCAGCATAAACTAGTTCTAGGACACAGCTGTCCTTCTCTAAGGGTCTAGGACTCTCTGCCTGTCTGTCCCGGTACTGGCTTCCTTCTGGAAACCCAGCCTGGGGCAACAGGAGGAGGGCGCAGCTGACAGTCCTGCTTCCAAAGACTGTCATTATCTCTGCTTCTTCAACCCACCTCCCTGTTCTCCTGCCTCTTTCTGGATCTAGGCACATCCACTTGGTCTTGCTGTGTATCTGGTTGCCTCTCTTGTAGAGGAGTACTCTTTTTCTCCCTTCCCAGAGTCGTTCTTCTGTTCTCCCTGGGTCTCCCTGGGTACCCCAAGGCTCATGCCCCCATCCTTCCAATCCACTCGTCTCCCCATCCAGCGACCTAGACTTCAGCTCCCAGGTCCTCACAAAGTAAACAAGCCAAGTGCAACCAAAGAGATAAAAAGGGACCCGGGGCCAGCTGGGGCTGGGAAAAGCCCATAAAGATAAGGCTGACAGGCCCACCAGTCTTCCGGCCATCAGCAGCAGGGAACAAGACTCAGGCATAGCCAATATGGTCATCCACCATAGGCCACACGCGGTCCAGGGTTCAAACCTCAAGACTTAGGAGCACCCAGGCCAGGTGACACTGTGCTTTCAGAGTAGCTGCTCACAATGGCCCCAGACTGGTTGTGACCATACCTGGGGTCACCCAAGGATATTCAATCACCAGCAGTCTCAGGTGTGGTGGCACACATGCTGGCTTTGAGGTCTTGTGCTGTCCACTTGTCACATCCCAGCCTAGCCAGGACAAGTCCAGCCAGAGCCTGGGACTCTCAGTCCTTCCCTGAGCTGAGCAGACCCATGCGAGTGCCTGGCCGTGCTCTCCTCATGCTTGGGGTTCAGCTCTTCCTTTTCTCTCTTCCAAGGCTCCACATCCCTCACAGCTTGCCCTTGCTGAAACTCGCGATCGGTTTCTCTTTCTTTCCGAGGCTCATCCTGAGAACCATTCTCTCTCTCTGACCCTCGGCGCGCGGTTCTGTGGCTATAGCAAGGAGTGAGTCGTTGCACCGCTAGCCGCCGCCGCCACCATCGCCGCAGCCGCCGCCGCCGCCGCGCCTCGCTTGCGGGTTCCTCTGAGCCGGCAGAGCCCAGGCTCCCCATCTTTGCGCTTGGCTCCTGCGCTGCTCTCAGAGTCTTCTTTCCCAAGAATGGTGCTTTTCTGTTGGCTTTAGAAGACTTTCTTTCTTTGTTTTGCGCTGGGAAAACCGTTCGTATTTTGTACTCTTAATATTTTTATTATCCTATGTATCTGAGTATTTTGGTCATTTGGCTAACGCTAAGAATATTCTCCAACGTAAATCAATATTATTTTGTATTTTAAAATCGTTTTAAATATTTAAACAAGGTTAAAACACTGGTTTAATATGATAATTCGTCATTATTAAATATGCCATTGCCTTTTTGTCCCTGCTACATTGTACCCCAAGGCCTCCTGGCCCATTAGTAATACTTTTCCCAATATCTAGGAATTAGACTGAGTGATTCAAAAGGTCATGTTAATTTATCATTATTTATATATTTTGTCTATTAAACCCTTAAAAATGTTTTTATTGCTGGTTCCTCATTCTCTATTAATATTATTTTCAAATTTCAATAACTTTTTGGAATAACTTACAATATTATTATTCTTAATTTTCATGTTCATTTTCTTCACTCCTTTAGAGTACTTATTTTACAATTTGTTTTGTTTGAAATGTTCATAACAGTCTAGGTCATCTTCATACAGTGTTACTTTTAGCTTCTTACTGTGTCATTATTTGTAATGTTACCGATCTTAATTTGCTAGTTATTTTTCATCACATCATTATCTTTTGTTATTTTGTCATAATTTGTAAATTTCTCTAGCTCTTAATACTTGCTTCATCACATGGTTCCTTTACCATTATTTATAATATTGTAGACTATTGGTACCTTTGTCATAAATTGGTACCTTTGTCATAAATTGCTACATTTCACAGGCAATTCTTCTTACTATGTGTTTATATTAATATTGCTCTTAAGATTTTAATAACTTATTTATTATAATAGCTCACTCAGTATCAATAATAAATTATGATAGACTTCTATCAATACAATTTTTAGTATTTCCTGAATTATTACTTTTCATAATTTTGTCACTTTTTACACTAGTAGCACTTCTTAAATTATTGCTATTGGTTTTACTACGGTGGTTCTCTTTATTGTTCTTATATTTTAGATTATGCCTTTCTTTAATCCTTTTGAATGTTGTTACCATTTCCACTCTGTTCTGAAAGTGACTATTATTTTATTATTGTTTATTGTCGTTTTAAGGTTTGAATATTGTTATTAGTTTGGCTATTTAACCTTGTTGCTTTGGTAATTGTTCACCTTCTGATAAATCTTGTTCATGGGTCGTTATTTACACTCGGTGTTCCTTGCTTTAATATTGACGAGCATGAAAGATTCTGAGGTTCAGTATCATCATCGCCCTTTTCCACATCGACTTTCGCTGCAAGTACCCAGGCCTGTTCTTCTGCAAACACAACCTCTAGGCCACCGCTTCTCCGGTCCTGATTTAGCCTAACTCCTCTGGCGCTGGCGCTGTCCCTTCTGCGTCCTCGGGTTCCCGGACCCCACTTGTCCCGTTATTCGGAGGAACGGAGGACTTATGCTCCAACCGCCTTGCGAAGAACCGGGGCAGGCTCGATCTGCGCCACTTTGCGCCACAATCCAGTTGTCCTGACCTTCCGGGGGACCCTTCCCCGGTCGCGATATTCGCCCCTTTCGAGCTCGTCCTTCTAGATCCTGCAGCCGAACCCAGATTTCGCCCAGCTCACCCCGATCCCCACCGCCAACGACACTCACCCTAACTGCGCTGCCGCATGCGGAGGCACCTACCGCCGAGGTCCACTGCAGGCTCGGGTTCAGGGGAGCACCGACCGCGGGGCTCCGAGTTGGGGCCGCTGGGTCAGGGTCCAGCTGCCCGCCGCGCCCTCGGGGCCCGATACATCCCGGCTCTGCAGCGGGCCCTTGATCTCGGAGGCTGCACTTTGGGGCCTCTGCTCCCTCCTCCTCCTTTCCTCCCTCCGGGGCCGCCGCCCCCCCCACCCCCCGCGCTGACGTCGCTGCTGTCAATCAGTCCGCGCCCGCCGCCCCCCGGGGAGGGGGGCTCCGGGGTCCCCCAGCTCCAACTGTCCCAGGACCCCGAGTCCAGAGCTAGCAGGCGGCCGGCTCCCCCACCGCACGGGCCGGGTGCCCTCCCCGCGGCCCTTGGGCCCCGCTGGCCGGGTAAAGGCTGCGAGCCCCGCATGGTTTAGATTAGCGAGGCGGGAAGCGAGGGCGAGCGGCCAGGCCTCGCCGCGCCGCCCGCGAACGCCGAGGCTCGACCCCCGGGAGCGCTCGCCCGGCGCCACGGCGCGGCCCGCACAACGCGGGGCTCCCCGGCTGGGCCGCGGCCCTGCGCGGCGTCCCCGACCGCCAGGAGCCCGCACACGCCCTTCTCTGAGACCCACCCGCTCCGGGCACGCGGCTGGCCCGGGCGCCCCTTTCCCCGGGACGCGGGTACACACGCGCGGCGCCCCAGCCTCGCACCTCCACACCCGCGCTCGCTCCTGCTCGGCCCCCGGCACACTTGCGACGGCCCGGCTGGGCCTGGGGCGCGGCGCGGCGGCGCCTTAGCTCACCCGCCCGTGCTCGTCCCGACCCCTAGGGTAGCGGGCGCTGGACCCGGCCCGGAGTAACTTGGCCCGGGCCGCGGAGGTCACGGGTGGGGCAGGTCCCGCGTTCGGACGCGGACGAGGACTGGTGGCCCGGCCTGGAGCAGCGACGGCGGCGGGGCGATGCTGGGCTGTCCTTGGAGCTGAGACCCAAGGCTCCAAGGTGCCAGCGCTTGGCAGGACTGCCTGGGGAAACCGCGGCCAAAGGCCAGGACTCTGCCAGCAGCTCCCCCAAGATTCTGGGGAGCTAAAGAGAGAGAGCTCAATGCCTACTCCAAAGTCGCCGAGTCAGCTGTGTTACAGAAAGTGAGCAAGACCCGCTACCTCCAAGACCTTCTAAGGCAGCCTCAGGCTCTCTCCTCTGTGTCGCTGTATTTGCCTCAAATTTTCATGAACTGTCCCTTCCCGCAGACCCTGCAGCTCCACAGTCCAACGGATCTATGTG